GAGAGAGAGAGAAACATTGATTGATTGGTTGCCTCCTGTATGTGCCCCAACTAGAGCCGGGGATTGAACCTGCAACCCAGGTATGTGCCCTTGACTGGGGGAATCGAACCTGGGACCCTTTGGTGAGCAAGCTGACAGTCTAACCACTGACCACACGGGCCAGGGTGGTGCATATTTTTTTAATTAAGTGATTATCAGTGTGAGGTGGGAAACGGCTTTTATTTTTTCATGTGTGATGATTCACCTGTTTCCCTCCATTATGAAAAGTGGTGGTGGGGTTGACTTTGCCACTCGGTGGTGACTCTCTCCCCCCAGGTGGAGGAGATCAGGAACAGCATATCTAAGATTGCTCAGTATGTGGAAGAGGTGAAGAAAAACCACAGCACCATTCTTTCTGCACCAAACCCGGAAGGAAGTGAGTCCCGTCTGCCTGTCTGTGTGCCCGTCTCTCTCGCTGTGGGTCCCTCAGGCTTCAGCCCTCGCTGCACAGGCGATGGAGCCGGGACCCAGTGGCCACACCTTGGACTCGGGACTCTGGTGCACGTGGTCATGTGAGCCATGACGTGGGGAGGGGGTTTCTACACCTCTGGGGTCACCCTGCTCAGCCGGGAACACTACCGGGTAATATCCAGATACTCATAGATAAGCCAGGTAGCTGGTCCAGCAGAGAGGTTCTGCAGAGCTCTGGGCCGTGTTAGTGACCGGACCCCAGATCCGTGTCATGTCCACAGTTGAACAGGAAGGAGAGTTTTGTGTTCAGATAATCATTGACTAGGGATTGACTGGGAGACCACTGCTAGTGAGAGCAGGTTCAGAGGTGGGCAGATGAGGAGGGGTTTTCAGACCTCAGCAAGCCCGTGTGTGGGGTGTGCTGTTCCCAGGGCCTGTGGGGGCGGCAGGGAAGCAGGGTGTTGGCAGTTAGGAGGAGGTGCTTCTTGACCTGCTCGTCTGCTGGTGAGTTTTGAGAAGCTGAAGGTGGGTGTAGGTGAGCCAGAGGTTGCAGCAGGGCCCACACACCACTCTGGGGCACAGCTGACATCTTTACAATATGGAGTCTTTTAACTGTGACAGTGTTCTGTCCCTCTCCTGCGAACTCCTCTTTATTCATGGCTTCTAGGAAGACTGTCCTCTTACACACCGACAGATGATGATCTAATTCAGAAGTGCTAACATCGGTAAAGCAGTCGTCCAGTTCACTCCGAATTCTTTCCAGAATTGTCCCCATGGTGTCCTTCATGTCTGGACCCAAACCAGACACGAAGATAAAATGATTGGGTGGTGAACTGGGCTTTATCACAGGGCACATCCATCTTATCTGTAAAGGCCTGCGCCTGGAGACCCACACCGCCTGCCACATGGCCAGCGTTCTCTGCCCAGCTCCACGGGGGAGGAGGCTGCTGGCCCAGGGACACACTTCAAGAGCCACTCACACGATCACTAGTTTCTCTGAAGAAACACACACACTTAAACATCTACCAGATATTGTTCCATTTAAATTTGTTCCATTTAAATTTGTCGGACATTATTGATGTTGGATATTATAGCTCAGATAACTTTTTTTTTTTTCATTTTAAAGAAATAAAAGAAGAGCTTGAAAATCTGAACAAAGAAATCAAGAAAACTGCTAATAAAATACGCGTCAAGTTAAAGTGTGAGTTTCAAGTTTTGGTTTTATTTCATCATTGATGGTGGGACTATGGGTGATTATTGTTTTCTTTATAATTTTTTATTCTTTTATATTTTCAAAAAGTTAAAATTTGAGCACTTTGAATAAGTTTATGTGTGTGCATTTGGGATAGTAAGCCTTTTGTTTACGTTCTTCATTACCCTAGGATTTTTAAACTGCTAGCTCTATGGTAGCATAGGAGGAATAAAGTGGATGTTGGTTAATCCTCACATTCGGGGGAGAAGCTCTAATGCATGGTCAGCAAGATGAAGGCTGCTTACAGACTGCTCTTCTCTTATGGTGGCACAGCCTGCGGGTGTCCGAGAAGGTGGGTAGCCTTTAAAAGGCACCACCAGGTTCTGGAATGGGCCTGTTAGTCAGCAGGTTCTTGAACTTCTGGTTCAGTTCAGCTGAGTTTACGGTGCCCCACGTCCACTCCAGCAGCAGTGGTTGGAGAGGCTGACGGCCTTCCGGCAGGGCGTGGTGTTTCCTTGAGGTGGTAGGAAGACACACTGTGTTTAATTTTGGAAGCCAGCATTCACATCACGAAAGTCTCTGCAGATCAGAAAGGACTTGGCACTATGGACAGCTTCCAGCCTAAGAGCAGGGAGATGACTGACTGCCGCAGCCCGACCATGGGCGCTGCCTCCCAGTGCCCCCCACAGACGGGCGATCGCTTCATCAGCATAGGCTCCAGTGTGTATTTCTAAATAAGGACCATGCACAGGCTGGTTCACCTGTCTCGTAAGGTTTTTAAAAATCAAATCTGCTCCTGTCCTTTCCCCATGGCACTTTCTCTTTTGGTTGGAGACACCAGGGCATTTGTCCATCAGCATGTGCTGTGTGTGCTTCAGGGTTCTGCTGATGTCACCCCTGTGAAGTCATCTGACGGGTTCCCGGGGCCTCTAGTTCCTGCAGATTGACAGTCCTATAAACTTGATCAGATTCAGGTTATTTGTTTCCCTTTTAAATGTTAACATAAAACATCTGGTTTTATTTTGTGATATTATCAACAATTGGTGATTACTACCAAGGTCCATAAATGTACTAGGAGTTGAAAAGATGAGGAAAAGCGCCTTGAGGGTTGGCTTGAAGGCCCATGTTCCAGTGTAAAAGGTAATTCCTCCCTGTTTGTTTCTAGCGATTGAACAGAGCTTTGATCAGGATGAGAGTGGGCACCGCACTTCCGTGGATGTTCGGATACGAAGAACCCAGGTTTGGTTCTCAGCCTCCCCTAGGTTGGCACGATGTCAGAGAATAGTCTTTTTCTTTTTTATTCAATTGCAAAATAGGTTTATCTTTATGGTCACATGAATCCTCAGGGTTTTGCATTAAAAATAACATAGTATTTATAGATTACCTCTTTATTATGAAAAAAAAAAAAAATCAGCCCATAACAGAATTCTATGGGAAAAACCGAGACTTACTGGGATCACTTTAGGTTTCATGGCAAAGGTGTCCCCTTTCAGAGGTTATGTGTGGCGGAGTGGAATTGGGGCTGCTTTACTCTCCTTGACAACTGGTGATTAGTGTGCAGGCTTGGGGACCATTGGCATAGTTGCCAAGCCTGGTCGGGTGGGCTGTCCCCATGAGCTGGTTGACTTCTCGGTCGTGGCGCTCACTCTGAGTGGGGATGACACTAGTGTAGTTGGGAGACTGTGAAGGCCTTAGCGTGGCTCCCTTTGAAGGAGTCACTCCCTAGTTTGAATTTCTGTAATGTGATGCTTTTCTTTATCATTGCCAATGAAGAAATGACTGCTATGTATTAACCTAATTTTGCATCGTTAATAGCACTCAGTGCTGTCTCGAAAGTTTGTGGATGTGATGACAGAATATAATGAAGCACAGACTCTCTTCCGGGAGCGGAGCAAAGGGCGGATTCAGCGCCAGCTGGAAATAAGTGAGTAACTGAAATGCCACCATGCTGCAGACATTCTTCTGTCCAAGGTCTGGCATCACCATACTGCAGCTTCAGAAAGGTCATTCCATCTCAGTTTGCCAGTATTGTAAAACCCACAGCTCTTTCAGAGCTCCCTGCTCATTGAATCACCAAACCTATTGTTACGTCCTTGAGAGGCTTCTCGGTGAGTGGGCTTTCAGTCACCTTCTAGTCACCATGACGGTGATTTCAGGGGCTTTTCTCAGTCCCGCAACCCTTCCTGCCCCGTCTTGGTGGGTGGTCCTCCATGGGCTTCAGGGTCCTGCTTGGGGAGCAGATGCTAACTGCCCTTTTGCCCCAGGTTGCCTTTTAAGAGGGTGTCTGTAGCAGTCAGCCCTGCAGGGGGGAACTCGCGTCTCCCCAGGCAGAAGGCACTTTGCTCACTGCCTTTATCGTCAGAGACGGGTCCTCAGCCGTGACACACCCCTGCGGGTGCAGCGTCCACGGACTTGGGGTGGGGGGCACAGCCGTGAATGTGAACCTCACTAAACACCCTTTTAACAGCTTTGTGGGGATGCAACTAAAATGCCATGTGGGTGATGTTCAGTGCCCAGGTCAGCGGTTTTTAGTACAGGGAAGGGCAAAAATAGGTTCACAGTTGTTCGTATGGAAAATAATACAATAAACGGTGTTTCACGTACTCATAGCTGTAAACCTTTTGCCCCACCCTATATATTAGTGCAATTTTAGGACGTTTTCATCACTCTGAACATACTCCATACCCATCCTTACCCGTCACTCCTTGTTCCCCTGCCCTGAGCCCCAGGCAGCTGCCGGCCCACTTTCCTGTCTCCACGAGTCTGCCCGTTTGGGATGTTCCGCGTGAACGGAATTGTGCAGTGTGGAGTCTGTGACTGGCCTCCCTCACGCGACAGTTCCCCACGGCTCAGCCACAGCTGCAGGTGTCGGGACTTCACCCCTTCCTGTGGCTGAGCCAGGTTCCGCCGTGGGATGGACCCCGTGTGTTTATCATTCGTCAGCTGCACCTCTGGCTCTTCCCACTGTTTGGCGATTACGAATGATGCTGCCATCAGCGTTCCCATCAAATGATATTTAAATTGTTATGATGTTTATTCATGTAGTTTTGTCTTTTGTGACACAAATTGTGAAAAAATAGTAATTATCAATTTGGCTTTTCACAGAGAGCTTTACTATCGGAAACTCAAGGTGAAATATTAACAATCAAAGCGCAGGAAGTATTAAAGCACCTGGTTCTAAACATGTCATCTTTATTTATGTCCTAAAATATGGTGAATTCAGCTGACCCCCCCCCTTTTCTGTAAGCCAGAGTTAACATTTAGGAGAACTGACGTGTTGAGAAATTAAGTACCGGTTTTGTTTTTGTGACTATTTCTCATTCAGACCAAAGTTAGACTTAATTCTTTCCAGTTAGAGGGTTTTTGTATTTTCCAGTTCTTCCTTCTCAGTGTCATGTTGGTTTCTCTCATCATTAACACTTGCCTAAGAAAATATTTTTGAGAAGTTAGAAAAACATTGTTTAAAAATGCTAACAACTCAGGTTTTAGTTGCTGACTTAGGGTAGGAAGAGTCGCTTTCAGTACTTTCACACACTGAATGGAGTTTTTAACTGTTAATCTTTCAGCTGGAAAGACAACAACCGATGACGAGCTGGAGGCGATGCTGGAGAGTGGGAACCCTTCCATCTTCACCTCGGACGTGAGTGCGCCGCCCGCGCTGGCCCTTCCCACGCACAGGTGCCCTCCCAGCTGCCGAGCCCCCTGAGGTCACCAGCATTTCTCTTTTGTTTTCCAAAGATTATATCAGATTCAAAAATCACCAAACAAGCCCTCAATGAGATTGAGTCGCGCCACAAAGACATCATGAAGCTGGAGACCAGCATCCGGGAGCTGCACGAGATGTTTATGGACATGGCTATGTTTGTGGAGACTCAGGTAACTGCAGGCTCCTCCCTGCTCTGCGAAACCCTCCGGTTGACTCGGTGTCCGGGGAAAGCCAAAGCCATTACTTTGGATGCAGTCTCAAAATTCAAAAGCTGGTTACAGAGTTACTGCAACATGAGACTGAAATGCTGGAAACAGCGTAAACTTTTAGCCGTAAGGGACTGGCCTAGCTAATGAAATTACGGTGTGTCCTTGGGACAGCCTGTTAGGCAGCCGGAGGGAACATAAACTCCTGTTCGTGGAGGACTTTTAATGAAATATACGGCATTGTGCTGGAATTTTTAAGTTGAGAGGGAGACATAAAACCTTGTGTATAAATATACATGTACGTGTAACACACACGTGTGTACGTACATGCGCTGGACTTGGCTGCGTGAAACAGTATTCACAGAGGGAAGAAACATGCCAAACAGAATGGCAGTGGGACTAGGGGAATTTAAACTTTCTTCTCTGAAATATATGTATAAGTTTTCTACAAGGAGCACATATTAGAGTAACAATTGGAGGACACATTTAAACGAATGGCCCCAAAAGGGACGCACTCCACGACAGGAGCAAGAGCTTGTATTTGTACAAGGTGTTCTCATTTCGTCTAGAACCACAGGCAGGGAGTGGAGGGGTATGAAGAGACCCCTGTGAGGGGCTGGAGAACTTAAATTTAAAACAGTTCAGAACACTATAAAATTCGAGGTGGGTGACATATGAGCCGCTGCGCACTGTTGGGCGTGTGAATGTGTTCACTCTGACCCTTGTGATGCTGAATGAGGTACCCTGTCCGTGGGTCGGGGGCTGCGCATGGGGAAGCAGGCGCATTCCTGTGAACCCACCACGGGCTGCTCGGGTCCTCACTCCACAGACACTGCTGGCAGGGATGGTCCCCTCGGAAGGCCCAGGCCTGGCTGGCTCGTTTGCCGTGGTTGCCCGGGTTAGTGAAGAGAGAGGATGCCCGTCGGGCACAGGACTCACCCTCCACAGGCCTTGCCGACCCTGTGAAGAACTCTGTTCATTTTGAGGGACTTTGTCACAGAAATGTGTGTGAGAAACTGAGGTCCTCTGCACTTGCAGGAGGAACCGAGCGCGTGGGGGTGACGTGGGCGGACCGGCTGCCATTTGCGATACAGGAAGTGGAGAGCTGGGAGCTGGCCCGCCCGCCTCTTGTTTTCGGGAAGTGCTCGAAGGAACCAGTCAGCAGCAGCGGGGCACGACTCTTGTGATGACTAAAGATTTTACTACCTTGGGGTTTAGTTACGGTTGCTTTATACCAAAGTATTGAACTCGTTAGAGAAACTGCTGCGTCCTGAGCCCTGTTTTGTCGTCTCCTTTGAGAAGCCTGTTAGTGCCGCATCCTATGGACTCGTCTAGTTGGAATTATGGGTATAGTCAGAGCTCAGTAGTGAGTTTGCTTTGAGTACAAGTGAGTTAATTGTGCTTCCTCCTTCGATGCCTCGTCCTCTCCTCACCGCTGCAGCTATGTCTGCTGGTGGACAGAAGACCAGGTAATGTCCCCCAGACGTGCCACCGCATCCCCCTCACGCTCTCGCTCATTAGCTATTCATTCATTCGGTGTTGAACATGAGCTCGTCCTAGTTCACTGACCTGGTAAAGAAGCCGCAACAGTTTCCCCCCATAGCAGAGCTGTCATCCCTTGTCCGTTGCATCTATGAGCATTAGTTTAACCTCGAGCAGCGCCCCTCCTTGCTGTGCCCATCGTCAGCGTGCTCGCAGGCTGAAGCACGTCCCAGTCTGCTGGCTACGCCTGTCACCGTCCCTACTGCTGTCCGTCCCTTTTAGCTCTTTTTAAGATATAAGTCGATTTTGATTACTTTGTATCAGTCCACTTATAATAATCTCATCTTTTTGTAAATGTAAAAAAAATTCAGCATCCATTCCATGCACATTATGTTCACGTGAAAAGTTTATTGGTCTTAAGATACATAATTAAGTCATTGGAAAATGTCTTCTAAGTTGGAAACTTTTTGTTTCAAGGGTGAAATGATCAACAACATAGAAAAGAATGTGATGAATGCCACAGACTATGTAGAACACGCCAAGGAAGAGACAAAAAAGGCTATTAAATACCAGAGCAAGGCGAGGAGGGTGAGTGTGGCTCATAAGAACCAAAGTGTGCTTTTCTCTGTCCTTGGTTTCGAGTTGTGATACGTTGACGTGGCCGACTTAACAGGTACTCCAAGAAATAAAAATGTCTTAATACTTCATTTGGTAAAGAGTTTTGAAGTTTGTAAGATAAATTGTGTTGACTATGAACCCTTCTGTGTTCTAAATAATTAAGACCCTTCACAACCAAAAGTGGGGCCGTTGCCCTCTCCTGGGCTGGGTGGGTTTAAATTCCGGAGTTCTCTGTTCCTGGGTCCTTACTTGGGGGGAGACACACTAGTGGGATTGGACATTCTCCTGTCCCATTATTCGTTGGTTACACACTTCATGCAGTGGACACTTGGTTCTCTCTTCAGGGTGTTTGCTACGCCTTTGGTTTGGGGGCAGGAGGAGGGTTATTAGAGACTGGCCCTGAGGAGCTGTGTAGTATCCACATCCGAGCTCGGTGAGTTTGGAATATTTGTATCTGAATCTTAAATGTGCCCTATGTGTGAGCCACAGCTCTTCCAGGAAAACAGTGAAAGTGCAAAATGACGTTCTGATTGGGGGGCCGGACAACCCTGTGCGGGTGTCAGTGTGTCCCTGCCCACCAGCTCTTGGCTTTTTTCTCTGACGAAACACCAAACTGCCACTCTCCACGTGTGCCAGCCTTGGGTTTGCAGAGGCCACGTGCTCAGTGCTGGCCTGGGGAAGGGTCCAGCCATATCAGCAAAGGCCTTGAAGAGAGAATGCCCAGATGTCCAGAAGACATGAGGAGCCGGGTTTCGGGTGCGGATTCACCTGTGGGGACCGCTCATCTGTGCTTTCCTGTCAGCCGGCAGCACCTCACTTGCTTCGTCCTGGGCTTACCTGATGTGGTTATTACCTGGGAAACTCGGGCATGCTCCTCACTTTATCTGTTTAACCACTTGATCAGGGACTGACCCTTCAATAAAGCGATGTGATGAGGTTCATAGGTAGAGTGCTGAGCCTGCTCCAGTCACAAAGTGGACTTTCCCTTGAAAAATCATTAAAAAGGGGCAGTTCCTTCTGTTTTCCTTGACCTGACATCACGTCATCCTGTGAAGTTCTAAGGCAGAGTCATTGGGGTTAGAAAGACAAAAGGCAGTGAGTGGTGCACCCTCATTCCAGGCCTGCGGGGTGAGCCTCATTAGGAGACAGGGTCTGAACCCACCTGGATGCCAGCTGTGAAAACATGACGCTGACTCGGAAACTGTTCACTCTTTCCTGTTAGAGCCGACATCTGACACTGCACGGCTGCTTGACTGGCTGTTCTGCTCCTCGGGAGCTTGGCTGCTGCGTCGCCTCAGACGGTGGTCGTCCCCTCTCCCGGGGCCCTGTGTTTATTCCAGGGCAGCTGTGTGTGGTCCCTGAGAGACCAGGTGGCCAGAGTGGAGTGACTTATTTTACACGGCGTGGTGGGGACAGTGAGGGAGCTAGGTGCCAACAACAGACAACAAGAGGAGAGAGTGTGGGGCTTTATGAATAGAGAGCTAACGTCCGAGTCGGCTAGGCTGCTGCAGAGCTCTACAGACGCAGAGACATCAGCCCATCAGACGTCGATCAAAATAATGTGACCACGCAGGTCTCTCCCTGACAAAACCCGATATTCTAAAAGTTCTGCAAGTCTCCTCCAAGTATTCTGACCTTAAATTAAAAACCACTCTTTTCAAGAACTAAAAATTATCCAACAGAATTAAAGCAAATTCTGATCGGTGGTTTTACTCTAAATGAGTGACGTCCTCTAACTTGGTGGCAGGAAATTAACCAGGATGTAATCAGCCTGCTTTTCTTTGACAGAAAAAGTGGATAATTGTCGCTGTGTCGGTGGTGCTGGTGGCTGTAATTGCTCTAATTATTGGTTTATCGGTTGGCAAATGATGATGAGGATCACGTCAGTGCATGTGCCTCTCTGCCAGCGCGGCAGTAAGTAACTAATCAACTAATATTCCTATTAACTTTCTCATTAGCTAATGGCCTGCTTGCCCAATCTTAATGTGCCTGAACTGGGGAAAGCCCGCGGCAGTGGCGGTGGCGGCTAATGTCCTCCAGGCCTGTGACTGCTCGCCGCTGAGAAACAGGCTGCGTGGTCATTCATTTTTAAGCCCCGGCCTGCTCCATACGTAGCTTCTTTAAAGCTTCTTGGCTTACTAATATCACTCGGATGCGATGGTGCGGCAGACCTCAGCTCCTCGGGCTCCAGTCCTTTGTTTTCGACCTGAGAAGACAATTTCCCTCCTCACAGGGGACCCTTCATTAGATGTAATAACTGTAGCAGTGACGGTTAATTCTCAGTGAAGACACAAACTTAGTGTCTTAATTTAGCTCTAAAATTTTAACTTTTTGAATAGTTGCAACAACTGAAAGTTGCTTTGTGAAAAATACTCAGTTTTACTGTGGAATTAGAGGGACTGAAACCAAAACTATGAAAAGCACTCACTGAAAATAAAACTTTTCATCTAACCTCATCCGTTTGTTTAAAAATATCCCCTTATTAAACGAAGCCTCCTTTTTAGTTGGTGCCCGTTAACCAGTGCTGAACATAGAAGGCATTCGATTATCTAAAGACTCTGTTTCTGTTCTGCATGTGAGCCTCACCTTCGTTTTCCTCTGGTTTCCTTGGCACATGGAGGCCGCCCTCTCTCATTAACCCTTGAGTTAGGCTGCTCTGGGGCGTATGAAATTTGGACATACCCTTTATTTCTCTGAGAGCGTTTTGTTTGCCGTAATCACTGTGATTGAGCTGTGAAGTGTCCCAGGGTATCTAGATTGCGACAGGTAGCCCTTGATGAATTCAGTCTTTTATTATGAAAGTGGCAGCCGGCTTGATAGACACTGGGCACTTTATTTTAAAAAGTGAGACACTCTAATGGAAAGGAGTCACTGTGTGCTCAGGTGTCCCCGCTGCTGTTGGGTCTTTAAGTTAATCTTCATGGGAGCAGGTTGCACTCAGCAGTGCAGCGAGCAGGCGGGAGGCCCCCTGTGGGTTAGTGTTCCAGCATTCACCAAGCCAGAATTGCACTGGACATCGTTTCGGCAGTGAGCTCGGGGATCGGAGTTCATTAATGGTCCGTTCTGTAGAAGGCAGAAGGATCAGCTTTTATCAGGCAGAAGTTTATGTCCCCTTCTTACTGCTTTCCTATCAGCTCTGCTGAAAAAATGGCACATATGATTTTTCTTTCCTAATATAATGGTATTTAAAAATATTTTTATGATTCTTTCTAAATATCGATTTTCTTAATGTTTCCTAGTGACCATAATATGGTTAGTTGGATGTGGCTGCACTAGGGTAAAATTGATTCTAGGTTGGACCCAGGGAAATGAGCTGCTTCCTCCTGGGTGCTCTCGGGCAGTGCTGTTGCATAAAGGCCAGTCCCCTCGGTGGTTGTCGGGGAGCAGGGGACGGTCTGTGCCCCAGTGTCCTTACAACACATGAACACAGAACAGCCCCCTCTAATAAAGAGCCCAGCACGGTGCACACCAACAGCTTCTTACACAAGTGCAGTGGTTGATGTCCTTAATTATACTTTTGAAATATGAACTTATTCTTGCTGCAAATAGTTCAGCCAAGCCTCCTATAGGCCAGGCGCACACTGTAGCACTTAGTGGGGTGACCCCATAGCCCTGCAGCCCAGGGGATGCCTGTCTATGAGGAGACAGGCTGGGGGCCCCGTGCCCGGGAACCTGCGTAGCTGGTGGGCGAGCCACGGCTTGACGAGGGACTTGAGTGACTCCCGAGGGCGTGCTCTGTCCGCTCTCATTTCCGGGGCCTCCCTTCTCCCGCAGACCAGTTTCCCGGAGGATGTGTTTCTTAAGCCAAAGGTGGTTTAGCTTTCACTGTGCAAGGATGCTTGTCAATTAACAAAAAAAGTTAGATGCTTGGATGCAGCCGAAGACTGAGTTAATGGACTGTTGATTTCTGACACATGCATCATACCTCAGTCAGCGTAAAAAGTGTGTAAAATCTTTTCAGCAAATGAGACATTGATTCACTTAAGCTGTTAAAAAGATGTGCAGTGCATCTGGGAAATAGCAGTCTGGAACTTTATCATGATCAATAGAAAGCGTCCTTAAAGCACCCACATGGTGCCATGTCGACTTGCCTTTTCTCTTCAGGAGCAAATACCTATTTTAATAACACACAGTTTATTAATTTAATTTAATGTATATGTGTCTGTAACTTAGCATTTTGCCTTTGGCAGTTCCCTTCTCCACCCCTCCCCTTTCTGTGATCTGGGGGACGCTTCCTTGGTAATAGACTTGTATTTTAAACTATCTCAAGTTCCAGGAGAATTTTGTTAGGCAATAACAGTGATTTCTTTCCTTCGATACCTTGCAAATTAATTGTTTTTCTTTATCTTGCAGAAAATGATGTTCATTATTATTTGTGTAACTGTTTTGCTTGTGATCCTTGGAATTATCCTAGCAACGACACTGTCATAGCAGCCATAGCCCGAGAGCCCTTTGTCCGTGGAGTCAGAACACGTGTGCAGCAAATCAGCACCCGCCGCCCATTTCATGAATGAATCCCAGACATTGTGACATGTGGTGTTGAGTGCTGACTTCTCACTAGCGAACTGAAGAACACACAACAGAACGTATTGTTCAGTGGAAAAGCCGAAAGCGAATCGATGTGATGAGTTAGCCCAACATCCTTGGACTCTAAATAACACACCACAAAACTTTAACAATGTGAAACTTGTTTCAATGGCCTTAAAATAAGGAATTATTGAAATTTTCAATTTTTTACATTTCAGTATTAAAAATATATATGTAAAGTTTAATTGGGAATATTTTATGCTCTGAAGTCATTAGATTTTGGGTCTAAGACTTTCTTCGCTTCCCCTCCTACCAGCTAACAAGCTAAGAGACGTTTTTGTACTATGTTTTTAATTCATGTTTGTTGTTTGCAAAAATTTTTTTTATTATCACAGCTGTTTTGTAAGGTATCTATAATTTTAATGTTTATAAATTGTTTAATATATTAACACCTTAATTTACTCCATTTTATATATTAAATATTGCCTTTTAAAATAAATGGGAAACTTCATGATGTTAGAGCCATCTCTGCACAGTTGTTTACAGAGTTTGCCATTGGCATAGAAAACCGAGGTTGCAAAGCACCCCTCAAAGCCTTTCAAGTGCCTTCTCTCCACCGTGGTCTGTGAGGTTCCCATGTGCCTGAGGCCCTCCAGAAAAGTCTCATTTCTTATACTCTGCTCCACTTCCGGCTGCTCCGCTACCTGGATAATAAATGAGTTACTGCACTGTAAAGACAATGGTCTCTTCTCTGTTCATTAAAAATAAGGCTTGTGTTCCATTTACATTATTAAAGTCTGAAGTTGAGATGGTGACCAAGACCAAGATTTACTACTTTCTAAAAAGGAAATTATCCCTGGACATTAAGTAATTCTGTTAAATGTAAACTGTTGTGTAGATCTGGTCCGTGTTCTTGTTAAGTACTGGCTATTCTGCTGAGCTTTGAAACTCCCAAAGTTTATAGGAATCTATGATAAACATTTTTATTGCTCATGAATGTTTTTATTATAATCATACGCTTTAGACTTGTAAACTGTATGAAATCTTCGAGTGAACGGATACTTATAAGGGAGCCAACATTTTGCGTGGAGGCTCCCACACAGCCCTCCGGTTACCGTGCATCTGGCGGTGACCGCGCGGCTGTTTCAGCGCCGTCGGGGCCGAGCGCTGAGATGCCCGCCTCCAAACGCAGGCGAACAGTTAGGAATTCCGCGCGCTCATGGCGGCCGCCTCCCCGCCCAGCCGAGACCCAGGCGGCGTTTAGGCATCGCCCACCCGCCATCGCCCGTGGGCTCGGCGTCCTCCAGGAGCCCCGCCTCTCCCGTGTGTTCAAGTCCTGACCGAGGCCCGTCCGTGGGACACGCGCGCTGGGCTGCGCCACGGGGAAGACGACCTGTCTCGAAGTCGTTTGCCCGCGGCCGCGCCCGTCACACACCTGCGGCTGCGGTCGGTCCAGGTGTGTGAGCCTAGCGCCACCTGCCCCCAGGCCCCCCCAGCCCCT